TACTTCATGTAGCATTGGGAGAAATATCCTAAAAATAACAGTAGCCAGATTAATGTAGCTAATGATAACTGGGATGTGGAATATATTACCCTGTCTGACAGGCTTCTAGACGTAGGAGCTAGAGAATAAAGGGGAGAAACAAATCATAGTTTTAAGAGGAAAATGTTCCCCTGATATATATTTGTGTTAGCTGCAAGAGGAAAGTGGGAGGTACTAAAGGCAGAAAGAAATTAATGGATAAGGAGGTGTTTGAAGTGCTTCTGAGTGAAGGAGCTGTAGGCATTTGGGGTGGGCAATTCTTTAAATGCCTTATTAGCATATATTAATTATATATAATTTTTTTATATTTTTGAAGATGTACATAATGTATATTGATCACATTCACTTTGTTATCCTCTCTTGTCCCCTTCCATATCCCATTAATTTTCTTCTCAACTAATTCCTTTATACTTTTGTGTCTTTAAAATTTTTAATTTAATTTAATTTTATGTGTATGAGTGTTTTGCCTGCACTTACATAAGTGCATCGCATGCATGCAATGCTCATGGAAGCCAGAAGAGAGCATCAGGTCCCCTGGAACTCGACTTACAAATGGTTAGCTGTCATGTGGGTGCTGGGAACTGAGCTCAGGTCCTCTGCAAGAGCAGCTTGTGCTTTTAACCACTGAGCAATCTCTCTAGCCCCTTTTTTTCTTTTTGGTGACCCAGTTTTGTTAGGGTTATCTATAGGAGGATGAGTGGGAGTTTGTTCATGGGAGCATATGTACCTTACCAGTGCTTATATCATTGAAGAAAATGACCTTTCCTCAGTATCCATTTTCTGTGTATAGATCCTTAAAGAGAGGCAGGGTTGGATGAATCCTTCCCCCTTCCATTTCAGGGAATCAACAGGCCAAGTCTTGTGGAGATCATAGATGCTATGAGTTCAAGCTGCAAGTCATGCCTGAAAGTCCATGTTCCACATCCCTCTCCCTCACTTTTTCCAGATCTTATATTCTTTCCACCCTTGAGCCTTGGTGGGACTGACATAGCTGTCCCATTTACTACTGGGTATTCAACAGTCATTTATTTTCTCTATTTTTTTCTGTACTTGAGTCTTGGCAGTGACCACTGACTACTGAGAAAAACCTTCTCTGACTTAAGCTGACAGCATATAAATATAGATTTTTAGATAGAAATTTGGCAGGCACATCATGTCCATTTACCAAAACAGCACCAGTAGCTTCCCAATGTGGTCCTTGATCCTCCCAGCCACCAGATTTTGGATGGGCTTACAGTACCAGACATGAGCTCCCAGGCATGAAATCCAAGGCAGAAAGCAGTTGGTTACCCCATAACAAACTTGCCACTATTGCTCATCAGTGGGCTCATCTTGCCTGGCTGGTCTCTATTGCTGCACATATGGTCCACAGCTAAGGAAGACTACTAACAACAGTTCTCTATGGGCAGCCTGCATCACACCTTTTGGCACTATGAGAGCCAACAACAGGAAGGAAGTTTCTAGCTCAGTTCCAGCATGATTTGTTTATGTTCCGTGATCAACATATGTGGCATCTTCAGCAATAGGATCTTGATAACTAGTCTGGTGGGCAACAGCAGGGAAAATGCCTGCATTGTTTTGGGGGCCTCAGGAATCTTCCTGACCAAGAACTTGTAGGGAGATAGCCCATGGGGTGGACAATTTGTTTTTCATTTATGACTGTTATTTGTTATTACCCTGATTCTTATCCATTTACTGACACTGGTGACTCTAATCATTATGATAAATCAAAATACTCCTTTCTATTTATTTCTCAAATGCCTTCTGGGCTGGGGGCAGGGACTGTAAACTGACCGTAGGTTGCATGGCCCCATGGGTATTATTTGCTTAGCCCTGACATGATTTTAAAACTTTCTGAATTTGGTTTTCTTTTTTTTTGATTATTTTTTGGGGGGGGTGTCTTTTTGAGACAGCGTCTCCCTGTAGCCCCAGCTGTCCTGGAACTCACTATGTAGACCAGGCTAGCCTTGAACTCACAGAGATCCGCCTGTCTCTCCCTCCCAAGTGCTGGGATTAAAGGCATGCACCACCATTATCTGCTGGTACCAGCCAGCGGAGATGAACAGCACCTGAAAGGGGGAGTGAAGATTGAAAGAAAAAACAAGAGACAGAGAAAGATACTTGGGAGGACTGTCAGTAGAGACTGCAGCCCCAGTT